TTTTAACATGATTTTAAAATGGGGAATTTTCAAACATTTATAAAAATGAATCCTTTAGTTCATTAAATATGAAATGTCTGATTTTGAATCAAAAGCCAGGTAATACAATAATTTAAAAATGTTTTAGAAATATAGGGTATTTAGATGAAGGAACCAAAGAGTAACTAGAGAAGCCTCACTCCTGGCCATTGAACTATTGTTATAAAATCTCTTCATAACCTAAAATAATACAAAAATATATTTTTAGCCATAAATTTTCCCTGAATTCCCTGTTGTCTCCCTCCCCAAGTTCATGAGGCTGAGGTATTTTTGGGCACCAAGACAGAATTGACCAATGTCCAAGGCACATGGTCAATTTTCTAAGGCTATTATGCCAGTTTTATAATAAAGTAAGAAGAACGATGATGAGATTAAAATAATCCCTAGTTTCAATCTAGTTCCCGAAATCTCTCTAACAAAAAACATGGGGGGAAAAAAACCTAGTGAGAAAGACTGGATGACAAATAATGATTTATCCTGACTGTAAGCCTATGAAATCAAGAGATTAAGCATTATCTCATTGTCGTGCCCCTGTCTCATTTCTCAAAAGTGACTACATCAGCAGGTCATTACCTAAATTCTTTGAGCAACTAGGTTTTTATCCTGTAATCAGAGTTTACATCCTCATTACTGGATACATCCTGTCCAGTAGCTCTTATACCTTCCATTACCCTGGAATGTAACCAAATTCTTACTTCAGTTTTCTTAGACAGGCAATTCAGGTATTTGGTCTTGCTGTGCTGTTCGTTAATGGTACTCACGCCCTCCTTGCTTTTTGCCACGTGTTTTGCTTTTTTTTTATTTGGACTTAAATCATTATGTTCTCATATCTGAATTAATTGTCCCATCGCTTCACCCTAGCCTGTGCCTAAGTTCTTTCTGCTGCCTTTCTTGTCCGGTGTGTGACGTGCCTGTGATGTGACAAAATGGCCTGATTTCTTTCTATGGAGGGTAGTCATTTTGAAGAAACAAAGATAAAATCAATCCATTCTTTAGCTTGTTCATCCATTGTTCATACATATTTATTTGGTATCCTGTATATGTCAGTCACTGTTTTATTTGGTATTAGAATAACAGAGAAGAACTTGTAGAATGGTATCAGGCATGAATACAAAAATCACAATTATCCATTCATTTATGTCATGCATATTAAATAGGCACCTATTCTGGACTAGACAATATGTTGTTTAGCATTGTGGACACAAAAATGAATAAAATAGTTTTTTCCCTCAAAGGATTTGTGGGAGCAAGAGACATGAAAATATTAATAGATAATATCATGTGGCATATCTGGTGATAGAATTAAAGAGAGTAATGTAGAAGCAGGATTTGATAAGAGATGATGCTAGTAAGGTAAGAAAAAGCTTTTATGGCATACTGAGAAAGCTGGCTTTAAAACAAGATGTTAAGTCATGGCTGTATACTAACAAGGGAGCTAGGCACAGATTATCTGAATTCAAATTCCCCCTCCACTCTGTGACCATGAATGTGTGACCTCTTTAAGCATTGGTTGATGCACCTACAAAAAATGTCGATAAAAATAGAACCTAACTCATAGGGTTGTTGTGAGGAATGAATGAAATAATTCACACACCTAGTACATAGTTTATACTAAATAAGTATTTGTTCACTATTATTCTATAGGCAATGATAGAATTCAAGGCAATTTTAAACAGAAGAATGATGTAGCCAAATCTATTTGAGATAGAGCATCCTAAAAACTGTAAAGAGAATAGTTTTGAAGAACACAAGATAAACCTCCTGGCAATGTCTATTAGGGACTGATGCTCATGTAAGAGACTTTGGCTGGTTTTGGAGATTATGAATACACTGGACTCTAGCTATAGTAGGAATGGGGGCACTCCTGGGAGAGTGTATGGAGTGGATAGTTTGGTTGGCTGAAGATGGAATTGCATAGAACACAAAAATTTAAGGGATAATATCAGACAAAGAAAAGTCTAAAGGAGATAAAGTAGGAATGGCCAGTGATGTCCTTTGTAATAGGCAGAACCACAACCTGGAAATGGGTGGCAAGAGGAAGGATGAGGAAGGATCATGCTGCAGCAGAGGGCTACTTTGGGAGAACTTGTGTTCTCAACAGATGTTGATTGATGAATTAAGGATGATGCTAAATTCAAAGTTACTTTCACAGTGCCATGAATTTCCAGGAAATAATGAGCTTTGCCATATCTTTTTAGTCACAGTAAAATTAAATACCAATTCGATTAATATAAGATCTGGTCATGCTATTAGAGAGAAATATAACAAACATTTTTTGCGTTTTTTTAAAGGATTTTGCAGAAAAGGAGAAGTCTACAGCAAAGGCCCTGGAAGACGTAAAGGCAAACTTTTATTGTGAATTATGTGACAAGCAGTATCACAAACACCAGGAGTTTGACAATCATATTAATTCTTATGATCATGCTCATAAGCAGGTAAGCCAAAGTGGGAAAAGTCCTTCATATTCCTGTATGTATACCTTCACAACAGAACTGTATAAATTTGACCTTATTTATTGCCATCTAAGACTCTAAGGTAAGATCATTTTATGTTTTATTTATTTCCTTGGAAGATTGTGCTTTTTGTTTAAATGTTAGGCAAAATAACTTTCTTCTAGCAGTACCATAAAACTTGAGTTGGACTTAGAGATGATCTAAGAGTAGACTGACTTATTTATTTTAGAATTACATATAATTGACCCTTGAACAACATGGAGGTTAGGGGTGCCACCCCACACCTTGCACAGTCAAAAATCTGTGTATAACTTTTGGCTCCCTCAAAACTTGACTACTAAAGCCTACTGACCAGAGGCCTTACTGATGACATAAACAGTCAATGAACACATACTTTGTATGCTATATATATAACCTACTTGTTTCAAAGATTCCAAGGTATAAGAAATACTAGGTCTTTGGGAAAGTGATTTTTCACTAAAAGGTAATATTTTCCTAAGAATACACTTTTAAGGCTGTCAGAGTTGATACTTAATAAATTAACCATTGCAAATAAGCATACAAAAAAAATTCAAAAAGGCAAAGTCTAGTAGTAATAGCAGGTGAAAACATTTCAGTTTATTTATTTATTTATTTATTTATTT